TCTAGTAGTTTATTTCTGCGTGTAGCCTGCCTTGTGGCCAAGACTTTGAGTAAGGGAGGAAGCACTTGGGTAGTAAGTGCTGCTGAGATCTCATTAGCTGATGAGTGGGTGTGTTGATCTTTCAGGAACAAAAACAAACATGTTTTCAATGTTTGTCTCTCCTGTTTAGTGCACTTGGTTACCTTTCCTGTATTGCAGCATCTGCTTAGCTCTTATTCGGCTTCTATTGGTAGCATCCCTCCTCTGACGTGTAGGAGGAGGAACAGAAACTGGTACTTGATCAGCAAATATCGGAAGCAGTGACACAACCCAAGGGACATCTGCAAATGATGGCCAACAAGCAGCAATCACATTTTTTTATGGATTCAGTTCAGTTTTTGTTTGTGGATTCAGTATGTGCTGCACGTCACAAAGTGCTGCTGTACAGAGGGCTGAGTTCTCACCTCGCCCCTTCCAAAAGGATTCACTTCTGTTGGCTGTGAATTTGGCTAATATTTTTGTCCAGAGGAATAAAAATGCAAGCCAGAAGTGCTCCCATGGTAAATTGGTTTCCTTTCGCAATTCCTGGTGACCTCTTTTACAGTAACTTGAACAACTGCTTTGAGTGGATCAGCTCTGTGACTTGGCTCTTGGGAGGTCTGGACCTTTTTTTGGCACTTTGCTTTGCCTGGAAACTCCCGTCTTCCAGGGAAGGATCTCGTGTGGTGACACTCCAGACTGCAGTGGGTACTTGGTCAATCCCATCTATATAAATATATTAGAAACAAACATGTTCTCCTGGAGGGAAATGGGGGCGGGTGTCCTCTCTCCACCCCCATGAGCACGCCCCAATTACCTCTTGTTTGAGCTCACCACCAGTGAAACTAAACCTGGTTTAAAGATGAGGTCCTTCTAATTATGACCACTTCCTTGCTCTTATTTTGTGGCTGTCTGGCTGCCAGCTCCCGGGTGTCTGTGTTGAAACGCACGTCCCCTTCTTGTGACACTTCGCTCTGCATGCAGGACTCGAATACTGGTGGGAAACTGGGCTTCTCCATCACATCGCTCCACCACGCCTCCTGTGCACGGACCATGGGGAAATGGGCACTTCCTTGCTGGTTTGTCAGCTTCTGCTTCTCTGAACTTGGCACCAAGGTTTACATGCTAATCAGCAGTGAGGAGCTCTTGGGCCAAAAGGGTACAAGCTGCACGTTGATGAACTGGAGGCTTGGATCTTGGTCGGCTCCAGAGAAGTACTGCCTTCTTGCAGGGGGTCCACGCTGAAGATTTGTCTCCTTTTAACTTTTGTTCCTGGTTTTTTTTTTTCCTCCTCTCATTGTGCTATGTCTTTTCCCCCCATTCCCACCATATGGTTTAGTTTGGCATAGGTGCCAGCTCCTGCTTCTCGTAAAGATAAACCTGTTGCCTGCGCTGTTTGCAGCGTGGGAGCGGGGCAGCCAGCGTGCATCTGCCCAAGCCTGGAGCCAGCAAACAAACCCACCCCCCGCCGGCTGCAGGCTCCCGGGAGGGAGGCTGCTGTCTCAGCCAGGGTTACCGAAGCTCCTTGGAACGGGGATTGAAGCAAGGACCGAGCAAGTCACGAGATGCTTGCCCTCTTGCTCCTTCCCATCCCGTGGGAAGAGGAAGGGAAACAGCTTTGCTGGATTCTCTGGAGAAGCTTAGGAAGGAATTCACGGTCCTCATCCTTGTTTCCCTCTTCTCTTTCCATCGCTGCTCTGTGACAGCTGCCGAACGGAAAAGGGGGGTGGCTACACTGGGCAGGAATCTCTGCCCTTCTCCCTGCAGCTCAAAGCTTGTGTGCTGTGCTCCGGTGGGTGGCTTTATAGCCAAGGGGAGGAGTTATCCCTCCTCTGGCTCTGCCTGCTCGGCAGCTGGGTGGGGAGGCACTGAACAGATGGAGAGGTCCTGGGGTTGAGATGGACCTTTGGCCATCCTCTGCCATCCACGCAGCCATCCCCGGCGCCGTCCCACAAAGATGCAGGGCTGCAACAACCCTGCCCACGGCCATGCTGGCAGAGCAGGTCCCTCCTCGTACTCAGAGGGACAGAGTTCGGACAAACTTCCAGGATACCCCACTCTGAACCGCGGGGCTCGCAGGGGAACGGAGCATGTGTGAAATCTCGGCAAATCTCTGCAGTCTCTGCATGGTGCTGCGCCGCTGCCCCCGGCCCGGAGGGGAGGGCTGGGGGTCTGCATCTCCCCGGCGGTCCTGCCAAGCCGGCTCACTCCACGCTGGGGTGCGCGGGCACGGCCCGTGCCCTGCCTTTCATCTGGGCAGCGGCTGCCTTGGCCTTTCATCTGCCAAAGGCATGGGGTGCAGCCACCCATGTGAAATCAATCCCTTTTTCCCCCTCCTCTTCCTCTGTCTCTGTTGTTTAGAAAACAGGGGAAGGGCTAAGGGAAAGGCAGGTGTGCAAACAGCTCTCACAGCTTCGCTCTGCCCAGGCCCCTGTACTCTTGGCCTGCAGGGAGATATTAAAAGAATACATTCAGTGCCTTCTTGTAAAAGCTTTTCTCTCTTTGGCTCTCCAGCCACTCTCGAAGGGTGGGATCTGAATCCTTATCCTTCCCGTAATGCCTGCGTGCACATGGGGAGCCCTAGCTGGAGCCCGGTGTTGCTGTCTGTGCGCATCTCGCCCTCTGCTTTCCCCCTTCTCAGGGCTGCACGCCCATCTCTAGCCAGACCGACTCCAAGTACAGTTTTGGGGTTGCTTTGGTGGGTTTCGGGGAGCAAGCTGTGTGTCACAAACTTGCTGCCACCCTGGGAATACACGGCCCTGAATACACCCGGTGGGTGGAGGACAGTGTGCCAGGGATGCAGGTGAAGGAATGTGCCCATGTTATTCCAATGGCAACGTGCCATGAGGCATCTGGGGAGAAGCAGAGGGCTCCGTCTGCACTGAGTTTAAAGCAAGTGGCCTGTGCTGGATGCTAGAGACAAAGGAGAGCTAATAAGAAGCTCATTAAGCTGCTGCTGGATGTATTTTCCACTGTAGACTAGTTTCTCCTGCCACAAGCTTCCCCCGCTAACTCCTGTTCCAGGCAGAAGCGTTTTCCTGATGTTTGTACATTCATTTATATATAGCCTTCAAAACGATCGAGCTCGTTACCCTCCATCTCTGATGAATAGGTTTTCCTGCCTGTGTGCCATGTCCCACCGCGCGGGATGTGTGAGAGGAGGCCAAGGATAACACAGCCCTTCAATGGTCCCTTAGTGCTCTTGCAGAGGCACGGGAAGGGAGCGCTCTGCCCTTGTCTAAGCACCCCTCTGCCTGCTCCTGCTGTAAAGCAGAGCAGGGCAGCCTCTAACGTACCTCTCCCTGGAACAAAGCCATCTGTCCTGCAGTCTGAATTCCCAGCATGGAGGGGAAAAGCAAAGCCCCCTCACCCACGGGAGACCCAGGCTCCGGGGGGTGACTTGTGTCCCGGCTTTGCGACGTGTTTGCCTTCAACCTCCCGCTTGCAGGTTTTGTCCTCTCCCTCGGCTGCTCGCTTGATCTCGCAGGGAGCTCTGACTTTGCTCCGTGCTGACGGCTTTCCAGCGAATCCAAGGAGCTGGCTGCGGCTCAAGTTCAAAGTGCTGGGTGTGAGGGTCTGCTGTGGGAAGGAAAATGAGCCCAGGGAGTCCTGGGTCACTGCTGCCCTCCCCCAGCAAGCCCTGTGCTGTGGCGCGGGCTTGGGCATGGGTCGCAGACCATCCTATTGCTTGGGCATTGCCCTTGTACAAGTCCCCTGCAAGTAGCTCGCTCACTTCACTCTAATGCGGGCTTGAAGATGCTGCATCAGTTTAACTTATGCCTGCAAATTGAGGCTTTCCTGGTGGAAGCTGGATTTCAGTGGCTTTTCTGGTGGATATTTCTCCACTTAAAAATAGCTCCTTTAAGGAAGCGGATGCAACTCTACATAGACTGGGCTTGAGATATTAATTACTCAAGCAAGAGTCAGTTTAGGAATCAAGATCTGGAGGCAAATGAGCACCGGGATGTTGCAGTGGGAGCTGGACAGTCGGGCGTGATCCGGGATGGTTAAGAGGGAGGTGGGAATGGCTCTGCGATGGTCGCAGTACCGACGATGCATCACTTGCACGGCTTGAGTTTTTTGTGGGCTATTTGGGATGGACTAAGGCAAACAAGGAGCGGAAGCGCGCGGCAGGGAGGACGGGGCCGTTCCTCCCACAGGAAACCCAGGATTAAGACACTAGCTGGATTGTGCGGCCGTCGCGATCATGCTGCTGGACCCCGTGGCTGAGCACAGCCCGGCAGCTGCGCAGAGCAACAGCAACACGTTCAACCCAGCGGCTCTTGGCAGAGGGGCTGGGGCCAGTTACAACACGATGAGTAAAAATAAACACCAACGCTGTAACTGGCAGCGCTGTAACGGGAAGGAGCGTGAGCGCAGGAGCCGGCAGGAAGCCATCGGTCTTGCAGATGGCTCGCACGGGCCAGGGGTTTTCAGCCACTGCCTGCTGCCGCGCCTAGCCCTGCTCCCCCAGCATCTCCCACCCATGGGCATGGAGCCGCTGCGCCCAGGTCAGCTGCTGCCCTCGATCCGAGCTCTGCCTTGGCTGGGTGGGGATGGAAGGTGAAGCCAGCCCTACCTTAATCTTTCTGGTGGTGTTGGCTCTGTCAAACCCCGGCCTTGGCTACCACTGTGACGTGCCAGGGCGCTAGCAGCTCTGGGGGACATCGTCTGAGGCAGTGTTTCTGCTATGGGACTTGCAAGCTGGGGAACCCAGGTCCCTGGGTGGCAACTGGGCTGGTTTGTTGTCTGGGCTCTCTCTGCTGGGCTTTAAATATGATTCCGGTGAGCTTTTGCTTCCTTGAGTCCTACAGAGTGTTTATACCAGAGTGCAAAGTGACCTTTAAAAGGCCCCAGGTTCTGCTTGTCTCCCTGGATAAGGAGAGAAAACAGAGCAGGACTAGCGTGGTTACACACCGCCCTGCTGCTGAGATGCTCTGCGTTCAGAGCCAACACCACGCGTTTCTCCCTCTGTCCCGCAGGCTAGCAGGAACAGCCTGGTAGGGTCCATCTCGGATAGACGCGGATGATGCCAGAGCTATGACAGGGATTGCAGTCTTGGCACTGAGGGGTGATCAATTATGGAACAACTACAGGAGGAAGTACCTGAGGTCAGGGAAGAGGAGGAGGAAGAGGAAGAGGCAGTGATGGTGGCAAGCGGACCCTCGGACCCAAGTGGAGGACCAGACAGCTCGCTGCCTTCGAGCAGCTACACAGGTGAGTGGAGCTGCGGGAGCTCAGCTGTCCCTGGAGCATCCAGGCATCCACGTCCTCCGGGCAGCATGCTCAGCTGCAAAGGGCAGAGGACCTGCCCGTGAATGGAGTTTGGCTTGTTTTAATCTCTTCCCCTTGTGAAATAATGCATCAAGAGCTAAGTTATGGAGAGGCTTATTTCTTCCTCTGCAGTCACTGCACAGCCGTTGGTAGCGGGTTGGGAGATGGAAATTGAAAGTTCAGGGAGGTAACGTTGTGCGCCAGATGGGGAGGACTCTCGGAGTGCCCGAGAACGCTTCCCTGGCCGTTTCTTGTGCAAAGTCCTCAGTGCAAACTGGTTTTAGGAGCTGGTGGAGAAGTTTTGTTGCTGCTGAAGAGGCTCCTCCAGAGCCCCGGGCGTTCCAGCTGGGCAGCCCTGTACCAGCCGCCTGCCAACTGGGGATTATAAAATTTGCTGTTTGGGTTTCATTGCCTAGACATGAATGCCAGAGGGAAGAAATCAGCATTGATGTGGAGACTCTCAGCTGCTGGGCACACTGGGGGCACTCTTGGCTCTGTGCGTGGCATCTGCCTGCAGACAGTGCCTGATCTCAGATGTTAACTGCCCAGATGCAACGCCAGTGGCAGACTGGGACAGTGCTGGAAATCCCTCATCAGCCTCATGGCTGGAGGAGTTAGACGCGATGCTGGGCTTGTGGCTACTACACGAAAGGACATATCCCTTTGTGTGTTTGCAGACCTTTCGCAGAGCTCCTCTCCCTCCCTGTCGGACCAACTGCAGATGGGCTGCGAGGAGGCGGCCTTGGGAGCGCTGAACGTGGAGTGCAGGGTCTGCGGAGACAAAGCCTCGGGGTTTCACTACGGCGTGCATGCCTGCGAGGGCTGCAAGGTACGTACGCCCTGGGGAGGGCTGGGTTCAGCAATGCTAAGCAGAGATTAGACCCCAGGGAGCACGGCGTCTCTTCAAACAAGCAAGTTTGCAGCAAAACAGGGATGCAAGATTGAGTGATTGTAAAAAAATCATTTGCAACCTGTCCAGAGAGTGTGGAGTATAGAGGCAGGCACACAAATACTGTCCTGGGGGAGGCAGCTGAGATGCGTATGGCCCAAACCTTGCCCCATCATGCTTTATTTTGTAAGGCAAATCCATCTATCCCCACGGGGACCCTGGCTTTGCTTTTAAAGATGCTTTCTGTGCTGCAGATCAGTAGTGAGCTGTGTGTTTATCCCCCTGGGATCAGTGGCCGCAGCTTGGATGTGCCTCTGAAATTCTTTCCCCCGCAGCAGATGCCAGCAGGGCTGCGTTAGTGGCCCAGGTCCTGCCAGACATTCCTGCAGGCTGGGGCCGGCCCGCAGCTTGTTCCTCCATCCCTCCCTGCTGGCTGTCTGCAGTATCACACACGCGGAATCCAGCACCGGTCCGTGGGCTGCCCTCCACAGTTCCTCCTCTGCAGCCCCCTTCTCCCACCGCACGACCCCTCCTTGAGATAGAGACTCTGCTTGTGTCAAAGAGACCCAGGGCTCCTTCCCTCCACTCAGCTGAACCTCCATGAGGCTCCTGGGGATAATAAACCAGCGTGGTCCCAAACCACAGGTGCTGACACTGCTGTTTCCTTGTCCCCCTTCTCCGCGTCCCACTCTGCACCACCTGCCTGCAGGGTTTCTTCCGCCGGACGATCCGCATGAAGCTGGAGTACGAGAAGTGCGAGCGGAGCTGCAAGATTCAGAAGAAGAACCGGAACAAGTGCCAGTACTGCCGCTTCCAGAAATGCCTCTCGCTGGGCATGTCGCATAACGGTGAGTGTCACCGCTGTCCACAGGCCTGGCCGGCTGGGTGCCATCTGCCTTCTGTGAAGGGTTCGCACGGGGAGGCTGTATGTAGCTTGCTTTATCCTGAGGCTCTCTTCTTGCTAGGGGATGATCTTTCAAACCCAATGCTTTGAGCCTTTGACTCTTCATCCCCTTCTTCTGTATGAGAAGGGGCTGTTCATTCCCACTGTTGGGGCTGTTGGCACATGGCTGTCCCTTACGGGTTGCCCCAGAGGGAACTCAACACACAGATTGTTCTTCTGTGCTGGGATTTTTAAACTTCAGGTGTAACCGTCTTGTTCCTGGCCAAGCAGAGGTGTTTATGTGGGAAGCAGGGTTTGTGCGAGAGCCCAGAGGAGTGGGGATGGGAACTTAGTGTGAGGTTGTGTTGGCAAGGGTAGCAGCAATGGCTGGTTCATGAAGGTGTTGATGCCAGAGCAGCTGCAGCCCTGGAGAAGCATCGTGTTGCGTAGCTGAAGGTGTTCACCAGCAGACCTCTATCTGCGGTGGCAGAGCAGACTGATGCCTCCCTGGATGCGTCTCCTGGGGTCACCCCCAGTGTCCTGACCCGCTGGTTTTACCCCCCTGACAGCAATCCGCTTCGGCCGCATGCCGGAGGCAGAGAAGAGGAAACTGGTGGCAGGGCTGACGGCGAGTGAGATCAGCTGCCAGAACCCGCAGGTGGCTGACCTGAAAGCTTTCTCCAAGCACATCTACAATGCCTACCTGAAAAACTTCAACATGACCAAAAAGAAGGCGAGAGGTATCTTGACCGGGAAGGCCAGCAGCACCCCAGTAAGTTTCCTCCCCAGGGCAGGCGGGGTTGGCCATGAAACAACATGGGAGGCTGTTCTCTGGGAGATGCTGCACATCTCCCTCCTGCTGTAGCTGTTCCACATGCACCAGTTCCCAGCTGCAGCCAGGTGGGCTCTACACGTCCTGCCCCTCACTGGGAATATTCCCATTGCTCTGCAGAGTTGTGCTGTTGTGGGTGGATGCAGATTGCCCAGGCACAGATAGGCAGACAAATGCGAATGTCCTTGGCAGAGCTGGTATCTTGAGTCCCCGCGGCAGGTTCCTAACTGCTTGCTTCTTTTTCAAGCAGCCTTTTGTGATCCACGACATGGACACCTTGTGGCAGGCAGAAAAGGGGCTGGTCTGGAAACAGCTAGTGAATGGCATTCCCCCCTACAAGGAGATCGGGGTGCACGTCTTCTACCGCTGCCAGTGCACCACAGTGGAGACTGTGCGGGAGCTTACGGAGTTCGCCAAGAGCATCCCCAGCTTCATAGGCCTCTACTTGAACGACCAAGTGACTCTGCTGAAGTACGGGGTGCACGAGGCCATCTTCGCCATGCTGGCCTCTATCATGAACAAGGATGGGCTGTTGGTGGCCAACGGGAACGGCTTCGTGACCCGTGAGTTCCTGCGTAGCCTACGCAAGCCCTTCAATGAGATCATGGAGCCCAAATTTGAGTTTGCTGTGAAATTCAACGCGCTGGAGCTGGATGACAGTGACCTGTCTCTGTTTGTGGCTGCCATTATCCTGTGTGGAGGTGAGCAAGCGCTCTTGGCCGTGCGAGTCTCGGAAAGAATCCTCCTGTACTTAGAGGTGGTTGGGGCTGGGCTGGGGGGGCTGAGCTGCAGCTGACCCTGAGATCAGCCAGAGGTGTCTTAGGGGATGAGAGAAGAACTGAACAGTTCCAAAACCAAAGCTTCTTCATGGCGGTGACGCCTAGCAAGCTTGGACCAAGAACAAGGAGTGTAGAAGTGGCATCTCCTCCTTGTATGCTGCTGTGGGATATGTTGTCCAAGAGCACACTTCTCCCCTTGTCTAGCTGACAAGGTTGGAGTCGAGTCACGGTGGGTGGGTTACAGTCCCCATCTCCCTTTCTCCAGGAGGAGCATGTGCTTTGGAGGGCTACACCATAACACTACAGCTCCCGTGCTTCCTCTCCACAGACCGTCCTGGCCTGATGAACGTGAAGCAGGTAGAGGAGATCCAAGATAACATCCTGCGAGCGCTGGAATTTCACCTGCAGTCTAACCACCCGGATGCCCAGTACCTCTTCCCCAAGCTGCTGCAGAAGATGGCCGACCTGCGGCAGCTGGTGACAGAGCACGCCCAGCTGGTGCAGAAGATCAAGAAGACGGAGACGGAGACATCTCTGCACCCGCTTCTGCAGGAGATCTACAAGGACATGTACTAAGGACCTGTTATTTATGAGAATGAAGCCATGGATTCCTATCAAGACTCTTTGTACAGAAACAAAGAAAACCTTTCCCCATGTCTTCCATTTCTTCTACTGGAAACTTTTGTACGTGACCCTGATGTACGGTACGTAGGGCAAGATGCCGTAAGATTTTGCAGCCACCACCTGCTAGGCCAGGGCTTCCGTTAACACACACTAACAAATTTACAAAGGCAAATCATAAGCTACTGTGTCCGTTACTACGGCCCAGCTCTTCAGCTGCTCCCCGGGGCCTCTGGAGCGGCCGGCCGGTTTACATGGCCCAGACAGTGGGGTTCCTGCGGCAGCTTGGGAACGGTGGGGGATGCTCTGGTCTTTAGGAGACCCGAGCATGGTGCGGGTATCCGACAGGGCCAGCAACAGCACTTACAGCGTGTCTTTATTTTCTTTTTTATATTGCACTCCGAAGACGTAGTCCTGAGCCGTGAAGTCTAGGACAGTGTAATGAAAGGATGTTTCTCTCTTTCCCAAAGAAAAGCCAGAGTATTTGAAGTCGGGTAGGACTGTCCTAGCAGAGACCCTCAGCTGCAACCCCACCTCGCTGTGCGGCGTATTCCTGTCTCCCAGAGGGATTTTGTGATCTTTGCCTTCCCCTGAGTGCCGTGTGGGAGCCTTGCTCCTGGTACCCCCGTTTCAGAGGCAGCCTGCCCCTCAGCACCTCAGTATGAGAGAGGGAGGGATGAGGAGGTGGGAGGGAAAGGGTCTGACTCATAAAAATTCACCTTCAGAGCAGAGGCCAGAATCTGTTTGCTTCCCCAGGCTTTTCTGCGCAGACACGAGTTGCCAAAAATGGCTGTGCAGAGCCAGGGGCAGGCCTGGGGCTGGTCAGGGTTAGGTGGCAGGGCTTGCAGCTGGTCTTGCAGCTCCCTTCCCAAGCCTGGGGGGCTCTGGGGGTTTTGCAGGGCAGTGCGGGCAGCGGAGGCTCCCCAGCAGTACAGCTCCTGTGAGCACCGGAGCAAGCAAAGCGTTCAGCAACACCAGCAAGGGGAAAGCAAAGCCGTAGCCAGCCCACAGTGCTCATGATGCTGAAAGGGCATTGCCCTGTCTGTTAACTGCCCTGCCTCAGTTTCCCCTCTGTGAAAGGGAGCTGGATTGTCACCTGCTCTCTGCTCAGAGGGGGGAGCACGAGGATTAATTAGTGCATTGGTTGCAAAGAGCTTTGCAGCTGTAAAACAGTATAAATGCTGAGTATTTATAAAAAGGGAGGGAGAGGGTGGGATGCTGACAAGGAGCAGGAGCTTCCTGGTGAGCACGGCTGGGTCGGGGGAGCTGCCCTGCCCAGAAGATCTGCCACCGTCCCGAGTGGGGGGACAGCTCCAGGCTTCGGGGTCTGCCTAAACCCAGAGCCATTCTGGGACTTTACCTCGCAACTTCTCGCAGCTGTAGTGAAACGCCACGGTGCTGCCTGTGCCCGGGATGGGACCCCTGCGTGGGGGGCTGCGTCACCCGGGCTCTGGGAGAGAGGACAGACCCGGGAAGGGCTTGGTCCCCTCTCAGGATGATGGTGTCTGACCTTAGAAGCGGCGCTTACCCGTCTGCAGCTCGTGGTCCCATGTGTCCTGAGCAGCCTTATTAAAATAGTGATATTCCCAAGGAGGGGTTGTGGGAGCAAATTAGTCGATTTTATTTTGTTTTCCTCCTCTTCAGGGTAGCAGATTTCCCTGGTGCAATAATTCCTTTAAAACCCGAAGGGGAGGAGCGCTGGGCTTTCCCTTCATGTCACAGGGCTGGCCGGTCCCAAACCTGACCCCGCTGCCACGCTCCGGCTCCTTGCCATGCCTCAGTTTCCCTGCCCGCTGCCCGCCCAGCCCCTTCCCCTTCCTACCTCGCAGGGGTGTTATGAATTACCATTTCTAAAGCACTTTGAAGCCCTCTCGGGGAAGGCACCAGAGACGTGCGTGTCCTGGATGGAGCCTGGGGGATTTGTCCTTCTCGAAGCCCCCGGTGGCATTCCCCGCTGTGGCCGGCATGCGGGACTTGCGTGCTCATCACCTGGGGAAATTTTTGCTCTTCCCTCCTCGACAGTGTAACAACCCTCAAACTGAAATGTATATTTTTGCTAGAAGTACAAACCTCCAAGTGTTTTTAATAATATAAATAGTGTCCACAAACTGACTTGACTTTAAATAAATCTGAACTAAATATTTAAGAACCTTTTAGTGTCCAGCCTTTCTTTGTGGGATTTCTCTCGGCCCCTGGGGGACTGCACTCGGGAGGGTTTCCAGCAGAGGCAATGGGATTTGCTGGATTTGCTGTGATTTCCAGGGATTTGCCATGATTCCCGGGTCTCATACTGCTGTGGTTTTCCTGCCTGCCTTTCCCATCAAACCTAAAAGCAGCGAGAGCTGGTCGCGAGCGGGGTCCCACCCTCAGAGCCGAGCGCTCCCTGCCCCAAATCTTTGCCGTGGCCCTTGCTGCGGGGTGAAGCTGGGCACAATGACCTGAGCCCGGCCGTAGCCACCCCAAGATGGGCGAGGATGGGCTCAGGGACAGCCCGGCCATGTGCTGGCACCGGGCTCCGCTCTTGGCCGGGTCTGAACACCCGAGAGTTTGCGGGGGGCAGCTGCAGACCCCCCCCCCGGCTTCCCTCTCCTCTCTTCGAGTGCCCCCGGGGGAAGCCGTGCCATTGCCCCCCGCCTTTCCCATGCGGCTGGGGGCACAAAGAGCCCTGAAGGTCCCCGCTGGGGTGGGGGGAGCGGCAGGGCGAGGGTTAAGCCGCTGTGCCTGCCGGGCGGGTGACGGTTACCTGGGTGGGGAGCGGC